TTATTTCATACATCTTTTTATACATTCAAACAAAAAAATTAGATTTTTTTCTCTTACTTGGATCGCTATCGTCAGGCTCATTCAAAACTAATTTAAAACGCTCTCGAAATTTTTCTAAATTGTTTACTAGAGAAGCTAATCGACACCAACAATCTCCAGTCCCACTGAAAAATATATATTAAATAAAACATGGGAAAAAATAAAGCAAGATGTACTTTTTACAATCAATAAGGGTAGTCGAGTATTGAACAATAACCAACAAYACATGGCCAATGTGTATACCGTTGAGTGTAATAGTTCATAACAAATTCGGGCAAAGTAAAAACTTAAAAATAAATTATTGACCTGTCATTAGTATTTTAATAATCAGACACTGAAATTTTYGACATACTTGGGGGTAATCTATGAATTTTTTAGTAAAAATTTGTACTCAATTTAAATATTTAAGTAGGAACTGTGTTAAAACTGTAATCATACAAATGTCTAAAGAAAAACAAATAAAATGTTTAAAATTTCTTAAAGCATTTCAACAATATTTTTCCAGACTGGGAGAAATTAGAGGATCATTAAACAAATATAGGCCCAAGGAATTAGAACTCTTGAGATATTCATTGAAACTACCCAATATTGATTGTAGCTTTAAGATTTTTAACTAAAAAAACCTTACGAGAGTTTATAATCTGAACACGATGGGGGTGGATTCCATACTTTAGAATTACATAGAAGCCAATCACACCATACCTAGATTAAAAATAATTTTAATTATAATTTCCTTGGTTTTAATTTTAATGGATCTAAATCATACCTTTATGGGTGGTAACAAAAAATCTATGTCACTACCAATTAACTGTTTAGCTGTGGATCCATCATCTTTATTCAAGATGTCTTTCAAAAGTTGATTGCATCGGTCAACRATCAAGCTAAACATTTGTAATGACATTGCCAATGCACATTCATGAACTGTAGACCAATATCCTTGCTCTACGTGTGTTTCTATAAAAAAAATTTCATAAAAATATACAACACAATAGTTGATTATCAGTGTCATTAAACTATCTCAATGAAATTTATTTTGTTTACCTTTTGGACGACTATATTCAATTGAAAACATGTTCAAAGCCAAATACTGCAAAAACCTTGTCGGGATGATAGGTATYGGTGTATTTGATAATAATTTGCGAAATTCCCTTAACATTTGTAATGCAGTATCTTGAAAACTCTCCATACTAAATATAAAATAGTAAGCTACATTAATTATTATTTACATTTAACAATATTTTAGTTAACTTTTATTATTTAATTAATATTTCAAAAATGTATTTTAATTTTTCAAGAACAAAAAGTAAAAACTTTAGTCAAAAGTCAACCAAATATTTAACCATCTACTAAAAAATATAGCAATTAGTGATGCAAATAATAGATTATTAAAATAAAATAGTTAAGTAACATTAAGTTTCTATGCTCTACCCAGTAAAACAAAAAACCACGGCCTGAAAACATTTTTCTTCAACAGATCTGTAAGCGACATCCTGCCATAATAAAACAGTTTTGTTGGCATGGTATTGAGTGGGGAAGCATAGAATTGGTTTGTTCTTTTGCTGGACAGAGTATGAACAACCAAGTAGGTCTATTTACATCCTATGAAAGGAACTAAGGAAAAAAGTTATTAAATCTTGCATTTAACTAAACCAACCTAATGATAACTAGTAGGCATTAAATAAAAAATACAAAAAATTGAATAACAAATATTTACTTATAACTTCTTAAATTTCCAAAAACCATATTCAAGTCACTTAATCATGAACAATATTCATTTTTTCCAAATTTAAGTATTGAAAATATCTGATCATAAATGTAAGAGCTACCAAAAGCAGTTATTTTTTAAGCAAAACTATTAATGCTTTTAAAATCTATTTCGTTCAAAAAGAATTGAATAAAATATTTTCATTTCATTACTTTCTTTAAAATCATTTCTAATAACATTGTTATCTTGCAATTCAATGACTTAATTAAGGTTCAATATTGTCAATGTCAAAAGAAAAAAGGTTTTGAAACAATTTGATTTTATTATCATTTACGTAAAAATCAGAAAATCTTACTGAAAATTAATTTTGTAAGTTTTCAGTTATATTAAAAAMATTAATTTTTATAGTTTTTCAATCTAAAGTTGATTTGGGTGATTCTAATACGATTTTGCAACACACAAAATGATTCAAGCGCTGTTCATATACTATGACTAGATTAAGTTCTTGCCTATCTTATCTTATATTGTTATATAATAGTCATGATCCAAATTTATTTATTACAATTTAAGATATATAATTATAATTTTAAACACCATGAGATATATTTGGAGGGTTGCAGCAAAAAGTTCCGGGAGCCACAGGTTGCCGGTGTCTGCTATAAAACCAAGTATAATAAGTGCTTTAATAATCTCAAGCCCTTTTTTTATTGATTGAATAATTATTATTTGATAAATTAGTGATAAATATCTACTTACCTGGTGTAAGCATTATTTCAATTATTTTTAAACTAACTAGGACATATAAATAAGATAATAAATTAAATATACTAAATAATTTTTCAGTTTTGTACTAATATATACTTCAAATAGCCAACATTTTATAGGGAGACTAAACCCTGTTGCGCCATATTACTTTCTAAAAATAATATATGCAAACTACTAACTTTTTGTTGAATTGAGAGGACTTGGCAAAAATTTATGTGGACTAAKTTAAGACCTTAAGTTATCAAAAAATGATTCAAAAATATTGATACTATTAAATAGATATAAACAAAATTAAACTTACCCAACTTTAGTAAACAGCTTTCCGTGAACGTGTAGAAAACTTACAATGAACCTTTTGTTAACCTATAGGAATATAAATTAATCTATACAATTTAACCAAGTTGAACATAATGTATTAACAAACACAAGTATTTATTTATACAGTTCTACAAATATAGAAGATACTAAAAATTAATTTTAAAACAAAATRTCAATTTACTTCAGACTGAGACAATTTTGATAGTTCTTCCTCATCAATGTCTTGATTTGGTTCAGTGGATGATGTTGTCCTATGAGAACGTTTGCTGCCATCTGGGTGTATCCATATTTCTTTCCTTCTT